CACCCTAATAGCAATGGCCTCCAAGCTAATAGCAATGGCCTCCACCCACCCTAATAGCAACGGCCTCCACCCTACTAGCCATGGCCTCCAACCTAATAGCGATGGCCTCCACCCTAATAGCAATGGCCTCCACCCTACTAGCCATGACCTCCAACCTAATAGCGATGGCCTCCAACCTACTAGCGATGGCCTCCACCCTAATAGCAATGGCCTCCACCCTAGTAGCAATGGCCTCCACCCTAATAGCAATGGCCTCCACCCTAATACCAATGGCCTCCACCCTAATAGCAATGGCCTCCACCCTCATAGCCATGGCCTCCACCCTACTAGCCATGGCCTCCACCCTACTAGCCATGGCCTCCAACCTAACAGCGATGGCCTCCACCCTAATAGCAATGGCCTTCTCCCTAGTAGCAATGGCCTCCCCTCTAGTAGCAATGGCCTCCAACCTAATAGCGATTGCCTCCAACCTAACAGCGATGGCATCCAACCTAAGAGAGAAGAAAGATAGAACGGGGCTTTCTTGGTTATCCTGAGCTCTAGGTTTGTGCATGTCCATTTTTATGGCCTTGTGACCATCCTTCACCGGTTTGTGCCGGCCAGGAAAGACTAGCTTTCTCGAGAACATGCCGAGCTTGTGCTCAAGCGAGATTCAGTGCGCAGAAGGGCGCACATAGTAACGGAAGGTAATTTACCCTGAAGCTGGTGGATCAGAGGTGCTTGGTGCTAACACTTTGGAGAGTAATGTTTGGGAAAAAAGAACGTCAAAAACACATGGATGCTGATCCACCAAGACACGAACAGACGAATGCACTTGAACTATTTCATCAAATGTCCATGGCCTGCGTATAAAGTTTTTTTGCCATCTTTGCGTGGTTTCATGCGTTTTTTCTTTACTAGAGGCAACGTCAGAACCGGCACTGCTGGTGACTTGCTCACACACTACATGCTAACTGCAGGCCATGAGAATCTTTACGATATGAATTTGATCGTGCTTGCCGAATGGCACCAGACAAGCTGCCTCTTGTACAGATGCATTGCCCAAAAAAAAGCCTAAAGGCCTAAAGGTGCAAAGAGACCCTGGAACTTTGCCAAACCGGAATGTGCAAGTCTTTGAGGCTCGTCTCATTTGTGTCTAGGTTGGAGGCCATCGCTACTAGGAACGTTTGGAGTGTCAATTTCAAACGCTTCAGAATGTGAAGAGTTCCAGTTGCACCGAATAGCCGCCCACATGTTGCACCTCCACCAGCGGGAGCCGAACTTGGTGTTTTGCAGCTACAAGAACCGCTCTCATCGAATTTTTCAGGGCACAAGGCACATCACAAACCGGTCCAAGACATTTCAAGACCTTTATAGGTTGGTTGCCAGGTTTTGGAGTTGCGCTTAGTAACTCGAAAGAAATACTTGTTTCAACGTTACATGTCTTACCCCAAACAGTCCGTTTGGACTAGTAGAAACAAGTGCCACGCTAGTAGTAACAGGTGCATCGCTACTAGGAACAGGTGCCTTACTAGTAGTAACAAGAAGCTAGTAGGGAACAGGTTTCAACGTTCATTGACTAAAACTCCAAACAGTCCGTTTGGAACATCGGAGGTGCCAGGGACCCGAAGATTTGCCTCCAAAAGGAGGACCAATCTGCGGTCATGACGTCGCCCAAGCGAGAAAGAGGTGATCTCTCCAGGCAGCTCCTGCCTCTCTACGGACCTGAAACGGAATGCTGCAAGCAGAGCTTATAGGTTGGAGGCCATCGCTATTAGGTTGCAGGCCATTGCTATGAGGTTAGTTTTTCTGTGCAATCAGAGCTTTTCACTTGGATCGCTGTTTGATCGTATTTGATCCTGTTTCGAAGTGTTTCGGTCCTGCCTTGGCCGCACGAAACTGGGCTCAGACGGACACGGACTATATGGGAGACGACATGTCGGGTGCAGATGAGGCTGAGGAGCAGGAAAAACGAGAAGCTGTCCCGACCGAGTCCGCGGTTCGAAAAACGAGATCGTGGACGAAAGTGGATGCAGATGCTCTTCAGGCAGCAGTAGATGCAGTCTTTAACCGAGCAGGTGAGTCCCTTCTGGGCTTGACCTTCTCCCTCACCATTGCAGATCCACGTTTACCCGACTGTCCTTTGATTGGATGCTCCACTGGATTTGCCACTCTTTGCGGCTATTCGATGGAGGAGAGCGGTTTATTCTTTGTTTCTTTTCTTGAGACTCCAACCTATCAGCAACCGCCTCGAACCTATAACTCCATAATAGCAATGGCCTCCAAGCGACTAGCAATGGCCTCCAACCATGACCTCCAACCCAAGCTTGTTGTTGTTTCCCTTTAGACCTTTAGATTTTAGACCTGTTCCTGTCTCTCAGTCGAAACGTAAGAAAGCACTTTTGTCGCAGCAGGATAGTCCATGTAAAGTTGCCGCATCGAACATGTCCGCGTTGCGGGTCGGTCAGGAGATCCTTGGAAGGAATTGCAGGTTTCTCATTGATCCTGTTCCACCAGACCAAATCGATGTCCAAATGCGAAAGCATTGCCGACAATTCTGCGACTCAGTTGCCTCACGGCAAGAGTATCGTATTGCTGAGGAGGAAAGAGAGGAGTGGATGCCCGTTGGACGGGCCGGCGATGAATTGTTTTGCTATCAGGCACATAGACGAATTCATTGGTGTATGTTTTTTCTGATTTCCTTTTCTTTAGACCTATAGGGGGGGCTCCTGGCCTTACTACTAGGAGCAAGGACGCTACTAGGGGC